AGCAGCAGCTATCTTCGGTACTCGCCGGATCTGTGCCTCTGTTCCTGCAGCTGCTTCTCCGTTACTACATCTAGGGTTTAGGGTTTAGGGTTTAGGGTTTGGGTACCTTCAACGCAGTTTCTTAGCTGGCCCTCTTTCGTCCAGAAGCAAATGCTCTTCGCCTGTGAGCCCGTCACCAGAACCTCTTCGAGCCAGCACAGACACACTGCAAACCACCACACAAACCCTAAACCCTAAACCCTAAACCCTAGACCCTAAACCCTAAACCCTGAGGAGCTTACTGTAGCAATTCATAGGGAAATAGCGGCTCAAAGCTGCTGCTACTTTTATCCTTAGCTAACGGACTAGCGTTTAGGGTTTCAATGCCATACAACAACATCTAGGGTTTAGGGTTTAGGGTTTAGGGTTTAGGGTTTAGGGTTTAGACCTGCATAGGCATGATGCTGCTGCAGTACGTGCAGCAGCACCCCCTCCTCTCTATCCCAAACCCTCGCTTCTCCCCCCCAATCGCCCGAAGCCAAAACCTCTCTCAGCTCCGCCACAGAGCAAACCGCGCTCTTGTGCCCCTGAACAAACCATAAACCCTAAACCCTAAACCCTAAACCCTAAACCCTAAACCCTCAGGTATAAACCCCTAGCTCCGCCGCCAGATGCAGCATCCCCTTGGAGCCCTGAGCAGCACAGGCCATGTGGTTAGCGTTGGTGAGGATACTGCTTGAGGCTGAGCAAGTTTAGGGTTTAGGGTTTAGGGTTTAGGGTTTAGGGTTTAGGGTTTACGAGGTATTTCATCTGTACTGTCCCTGTGTCTGCGGAGACTCTGCATAGAGTAAGGTCTTTGCTGCCGGAGAAGAACTGCCCGGGCAGGGAGAGAGAGGGACAGAGACAGAGAACGAAATCTTTGTGGTGCTGCAGCACCTTGGTTGGGGTGTACATACACCCCAAAGAACTACCATTTCTTATCTGAGTTGCTATGCTGCCGCTGCTGCCGTCGCTCCTGCTGCTGCTGCTGCTGCTGCTGCTGCCAACCACCCCATCATCCGAAGTAGCTGCGCCTGGGGTGCTGTTCGTCTGCTGCTGCTGCTGCTCCTCCTGCTGCTGCTGCTGCTGCTGCTGCTGCTGCTGCTGCTCCTGCTGCCACACTACTATTGTAGAGTCCAGGGACCCCGTCAGCAGCAACCCGTCAGGCAGCACGCAGCAGCAGCGCACAGCAGCAGAATGAGCGCGGCCTTTGAAGGCCAGCTGGAAGGGGGAAGTATCCATGCTGCTCCCTCCAGCTGCTGCTGCAGTTCCTGCTGCTGCTGCTGCTGCTGCTGCTGTTGCTGCTACTATTGCTGCAGTCTTTCCGACTGCTGAGCTTGCTGCTGCTGTTGCTGCTGCTGCAGCTTCAGGTGTACGTACAGTAATGTACCTGCTGCTGGCCAGAGGGCTCTCCGGTTGCTTCCAGCGAGAAAAGAACAAAAAAGAAGGTGAGGAGCGTCTGCTCCTGCTGCTGTTCTTTCTGCTATTGCTGCTGCTGTTGCTGCTGCTGTTGCTGCTGCTATCGTTGCTGCTGCTGCAGGCTAGACGCAAACGAGGCCTGTTGGTTTGTAGGCCGCTCTAAGAACTTGCTGCCGACGCGGCTGCTGCTGCAGCGGCTGCTGCTGCTGCTGCTGCTGCTGCTGCTGCTGTATCTGCAGCAAGGAATATCAACCTCCTCCCTAGTTTGTCTTCTTGTGTCTGCTAATTTTTATTAATAATTTATAATTTTAAATAAACACACAATACATTTCATCGCCCTGCTGCTGCTGCTGCTGCTGCTGCTGCTGCTGCTGCTGCTGCTCCGGAGTTGTATGAATGTACACACACACCCGTAGCGCAGAGCACCAGCAAGGCTTGCAGGAAGTAGTTTATTTTATGTTGCCATTTAAATAAAATATATTATATCTAAATTCAGTTAAAAAAGTAAATATATTTGCAGGTGGTGGGGTGTATGTACACCCCAGGTCGCCTCGTGCTGCAGTGCTGTTAGCCAGGTGTATAGCAGCAAGAGAGCCCTCGCAGGTGCAGCAGCACCTTCAGCAGCAGCAGCACAGTTGCTGCTGCTGCTATTGGTTTTGCTGCAGTTGTTACTCCTGTTCTTGCCGTTGATATTGGGATAGCGCTGCCAGCAGCGACAGCAGCAGCAGCAGCAGCAGCAGCAGCAGGAGCAACAAACACTCAGTACAAGGAGACAGAGGAAATGCAGGAGTAGCCTGGCGTCTAAGTGGCTGGGCCTGCAGTGCCAGCGGCGGCCTGCTAGCTTGACCCCACGATATCTACAGCGAGCTCTATGGCTGTATGCTGTGAGTTATGTTGGAAGTGACGCAGTGCTGGCAGCTCGCTCTGTGTCTAAACCCTAAACCCTAAATACTAAACCCTAAACCCTAAACCCAAGGAGAATTATCGATGTTCGCAGAGGACCCTAATGCTCTGCAAAGTGATAAAGACAGAGAAGCCATGTATTCAACAAAATCCAGCTGACGGCCCACCCAGGCACAGACTCTATGCAGGGCACAGCGGCGCATCGCATCGGCCTGAAGCTGCGGTGAAGAGGGGGCAGCCTTTATTGGGTTGCGCCGCCCCTCGCCGCAGTTTCAGATGCAAGTCACCCCCATCAAGGCGCAGCTAAGTCCTCTCTCCATGCATGCAGTAACCTCGTAAACAATTGCTAGTCGTCTCTCTCCGCAAACAGCACCAGCCCTAGTCTTGCACACACCGCAACAAGAAATGGGGACACAGATAGAAGGTGAGAGTGCCAGAGCGCCGAACACAGAAAGAAAAAAAGTAACAATGAAGAGAGGTGGAAAAATGCAAGCGGAACCTGCCGACATAGCGTGTATTTGTTGCCTATCCCAACCCCCTATTGCTGCAGCCGCCCCAGCCTTTCTACAGGCCAGCTAGGCTCTGTGCGCTTTGCTTCGCGCGCTTTTACTGCGGGCATCTCAGCAAGAAAAGGAATATTGTGAACGGGGGCAGGGGGGATTGAGGGGTGTGTCCCACAAGAGAAGTTCAGAGGAATAGCCTACTGTCCACTCATGTTTAATGAAATATTATTTTAAAGGGTGGTTTTTCTGTATTATCGTTCGCTAAACACGGCTTCTCAAGAGTTGGACGGAGGGTCCACACATCATCGTCTTATTTGGCGAGCAGCTCCTGCATTGCCATGGTTCTTCATTACCCCATCGTATGAGAAATACGCAGCTCCCCACCGGAACTCATACCGAGTTTCCTCTGCGCTTGTGTTGTCGTTGGGGGCGCAAGTAGCAGAGTAACAGTTATTGTTTTTGTGTGCCCGATGATGAGGGTGAGGTCCAGTTCCGAGAGCCCTACGATCCCTTTGGCCCCAAACTCTCCTTAAGGGGCATGCTGCAGGGGAGTTTCTCACAGCTACATATCGGATAGGGTCAATGCTATAACACTTTCTCGCTTCGTCAGTGCTGGTGCAGCTGCAGAGACACGAAAACCTAAGAAGTTTATTTGGTTACATTACAAACAAACATACACAAACCTTCGGGCACGACAATTTCTTTTTTAGCAGTCGCAGTGCTCGCCGCAGGTGCTGCAAGTGCTCCTGCACACGCCAACGGAACGCAAACACGACATCCATTCATACCCCATTGACTGATTCCACGCCAATCATGACTACCATTTCGCTGAATGCGGATTAACAAGCTTAAATTGCATGGGGATCTACACTAGGTGGCGATTGCGCGTGCAGAGCGCCGGCTTATGTCGGGCGTTGTGGTAGACTGGAGTGTACAGACAACGTGCCAGCGAAATCAAATAAGTAGACTGCTAAGCCCTGCACGTGGTTAAGAAGTGTCTCTACCTGAGGCATCCGGAGATTTTGTTTCACCATGATTTGGTTAAGATGCTTTATCTCGATGGGCATGCGCCACCTCTCAGCATTGAATGGTGCTCATACGCCCTAGTTGAAGGCTAAACATCATCTTTTCACAGCACTTCTCCCGCTAGTTTGTAGTTTGTGTCTTGAAGGTGCACGGGTCGTCTGTACCTCGGGCCAAAGCGTTCGATGCACTGCACTGGGCGTGCCTCTGGAAGCTTCATTTTGTTTGTTGCATACGGGGGATCTTCCTTTGATTGCTTCTACATCTTCTGTTCCTCGGGCGTTAATCAAATTCACCAAAACGATTCCCTTGGTAATATCATCACGACGGACAGCATGCTTTTCCGTTCTGAGAGGGCCTCGCTGCTGCGTTGAAGCCTCCCTCTTCCTTTGTTCGTGCGACAGGGATTAAACTAGGTTTAGAGTTACTGAGTCCCCGAGTGACCCGAAGCACTTTCCCTTGGCGCCCCACATAATTCTACTGGCCTGCCAGCTCCACCTTTGAAAGGTTTCTGCGTTGCTTCTGGGCCTTTATTTGTTATCTACTCACAACATATGCGGGAGAGGCTTCAGCTCTTGAGGTGTCTTCATGGTGCCGTGTGCAACGAGCACCATCGCTGCCGGCGAGATGCTTGTTAAGGGGATCGATCCATGGACCATACTGCTCTCCCTGTAGACCCACTGAGTGAGCCTGCATGGCTGCTAGTGTTGCAGTGCGGGCGTTGACTTTCTCCTAGGCCCATATCACTTCTCTAAGCGGCCCCCCAGGGGCCCCCAGGGGCCCCCTTCTCCTTCATGGGGGGCCCCCCACAAGGCTGTGGAGTCTTGTCCCCTTGCTTTGTTCTCTGTATGAGTAACGGTTTGCTCTTCAGTTTTATAAGAAACAATTAGCTGTTTATTGTTGAATACAAATAATAACCTGCTGGGAGGAGCTGCACCGGTGAGGCAGCAAGTGACCAATGGTCTGGTGCAATGGTCTCGCTGTGGTGTACTTTTTCAGGTTTAAGGTTTAATAAGGTTATCTGTGCGGCTCATTCGATTGAATATAAAAGCAGTAATATTCTTTTTTTGTATATATATATATATATATATATATATATATATATATATATATATATATATATATAT